TCAGGTTATTTTATTCACAATAGCTTGTACCTCTTAATCCCCTACCCCTGTCCGGTCCCTCTCCTTGTCTCTCCCCAGTAGTAGCCACTAGTTTGTTCTCTGTGAGTCTGCTTCTTTTTGGTTATATTCACTAGTTTGTAGTATTTTTTAGATTCCACGTATAAGTGATATCATACAATACTTATCTTCCTCTGTCTGACTTATCAGGAAGCAACCTAAGAGTCCATCAACAGATGAATGGATAAAGAAGATGTGGTATAAATATACAATGGAATACTGCTCAGGCATAAAAAAAGAATCAAATTTGCATTCACAGCAACGTGGATGGACTTGGAGGACATTATGCTACGAGAAATAAACCATGATACTATTGAAATATCCAGTCGGTCCTGAACTGTGTCAAGCTCTTGCAAGTGAGAAGCAGAGCTGGGACTAGGGAAGGCTGAATCAGGCAAGAGCAGGGTCCACTTCTACCTTTCTGCAAAATTCTGATATCTTGTTCATCATAAATTGTTTTCGCACTGATTTTGATTTTTTAAAAAAATCACATTAAACTTATTTACCTTGATGACTTGAAGGTTTTGGTGCCACCTTAAATTTTGCTCCCTAGACAAGTGCCTCCTTTACCTCACCCCATTCCTGCCTCTGGAAAGAAGTATTACATGGATCCAAATATTCCCCACCCATCCCACCATTGTTATTTCTATGCAGGTTTAAACAGATTTTCTACGTGGAATATTATTCATTTGTTGGAAAAAATGACTAGTTCAAATTGGTTACGCTCAGACCATGACCAGGCATGGGTCTAAGGACTGGTGAATAAATAGGAAATTCACCCTCACATTGGCTGTAAGAACAAGCAGATTCTAATGGCAAACGCTCAGAGCAGCGTGTGGCTTGTTAGAGGTGGGCAGAGAAGGAAGCCGACAAACTTGCGTTGTGTTGCAGCTCATCACACATTGTATCAGGTCAAAAGAAATGTGCTTGTACTCAAAAATCCCTTTCTGACTAATCATTCTGCACCATCCGGACCAGTGTTTGGCCCGTATTTCTGTAAAGGACCAGATGGTAAATGTTTTCGACTTCACATCCCACGTGATCGCCATAGCAGCTACTCAGCTCAGCCATTGTAACTTGAGATGACCAGAGACCACACTTAAATGTAGTAGTGGCTTTGTTCCAATAAAACCTTATTTATGAAAACAGGTGGCAGGCCGAAAGCGGGCCTTAGTTTGCTGACCCTGATTTGGACACTGAACTTTGAAGACACAACGTGTAGTGTCTGTCGCACTGAGGTTGGGAAGGTCAACTCTGAGGTCAGGTTGCTGGACTTGTTTCTTGATTCTCCAACTTCTTTGGGATCTTAGACAATTAACATTCCAGTATCATTTTCTTCAACTGTACAATGGCAGTATTAACAGTATATACTTTGGAAGGTTTTTCTCAAGAACTGAGTCAAATGATACGTGTGAAATATTTAGAATTAAACCTGTAGCTTTATGAGAGCCCAAAAATATTGGTGCAGAGATCCAAAAACGGGTTAAGCATTATGAAGGAAGTACTTGTGATACAGACTTGACTTTCTCTGCGGTTGGGAAAAGCACATTCTTTGTGCTTGAATGTGCTGGGAGGGCTGATTTGGCAGGACCATGCAGAACCCTGAGTTCCCTCAGGGAGTTCCTCAGGGTTTGCTCTTGTTTTTTTGAAGTGTAGTTCATTTACAATGTTAGTTTCAGGTGTACAACAAAGCAATTCAGTTATACATATACATACACATACGTACGTATATTTTCTTTTCAGATTCTTTTCCATTACATGTTATTACAAGATATTGAATAGAGTTCAGGGTTTTAGCTCAGGTCTCGTCTCCCTCTGGAAACTGGGTCCTGTCCCTGTTCTCTCCTGAATAAGTCCTGTATTTTTTCTTACAATGTGTAGCCAGCCTTGAAATACTAACAATGGCTAACATGCATTGAACATTTATTATGTCCCAAGCTCCATTCTAAGTGTTTTATATGTGTTACCACGTTTATGTTTCACCATAACCCTGTGATTTAGGGTTTCTGGGTGCCAAGGTGTTATTATTTTCATCAGGAAACTGAAGTAGAGCAGGACCAGTCACACCCTGGAGGTGGAGGCAGGAGGCATCTCAGGTAGGATGACCCCAGACAGCGTCCTCTCACCTTTCACGTCCAGCTTTCCGTTCAAGTCCCAGCCCGAGGTCTGCCTTCTTCACAAAGCCTTTTCTT